AACCGAGAAATCCTGTTTGGTGGGCACTCGAGCCCCAGAGGTAGGCCTTCCATTCTCTTCCTATGAATAAAACTGAACTTTCCAGGTACTTCATCCAAAAGTTAAGCATATCTCCCATAAGCTAGGAACCATAAACCTTGCCCTTAGCCTTCAGTAGAAGCGAGTGAAGCTCATCTTAAATGCTACTCCCCCACCAAAATAGTAGGTGAGTGGATTGGCCAGGTTTCATTTCATTTTTACCAATTCTCCGAACTTGCAATTCATTCATTGGAGTTTTCGAAGCCATAACACGACCAAATAATGCCCAAAATCAAAGCACACACAGCTGACAATTTTTAATCCGCAACAGGCCATGTAAATTTCAAAATTAAAAAAAATGATCGTCCAAACGAATCCTCCGTTTCCACATGCAATCATTAAGTCCAAATGAAAAACGGCTTTGACTAAACGATCATATTCCTTTAGCAGGATGTTATAGTTCATTATTACAATTTCGATCATTTTGAAAATATTTTAATAATAAAACAAGGAGCACAATCGTAATCAGTATTAATATTTACAATTTTCTATAAACAGATAATATTATCTACATAAAAAAACTAGAATCCATTATCAAGCAAATATTGAGCCACTTCGTCGACAAAGATACCATCGATCACGATCTTCTGTGTGGCTTCATCAACTTGGCATAGGAAGTGCCCCGCTTCACATTTCGGCTTCAATAAGACTTCAAGTTCTGCGGCTAGGGCCTAAAATTATTATTAGAAAATACATAAGTTATGTACTACTTAAGTGAATTAAGTAAAACCGTGATAGCGTTTAGATCGATTAAAGACACAAGTAAAAGTATTTTAATAAACAGCGATAACAGGCTTCCCACATATTTCCAGGTGCGAGCAATTAATGCTCAATACCAACCAGTACGACTATCGCTAACCGAGATCTAGATATCTGCGAAGTAATCGAAAAAATTTAAAACCAGTTATTCGGGGATCTAATAAATTGATAGATCATCACAAGAAATGTCCTGCAAAACTGATTCATAAAATACTGCCAATCATACAACATCTGCACCTTTTGGCTGTAAATAAGTTAAAATTAATCGCAATCACTTGATCAAATACGGAATTAAATTAAGCCATCCAAAATGCATAAAATATCATAGATATTGTGTCAAATCATGAGACTGGAACAGCAGAATATTTTACAATATGAATATGCAGAACTCGACGCCTTCAGAAATTGACTCTTGCATACATACTTACACAACCAGTACTTCTCTCTATTGGGGTGGTATCCTGGACCCACTATTCTTGTGATCTGATTGATTCAAACTTATGCGTTATCATAGCTTAACAACAATCATTCAATTTCTAAAAAAATGAACTTTCCGATCACACTGTAGATAACTGACCGTTCATTATTAAACGCACTCTATTTAGATAAGAGATAACACAGGCCGACTGTACCACTCTGATTACCTCACGATACCAAAAGTCGGTCTTCTGCCATGACCAAAAAACAGACCTGGAAGCTATAAAATGGATGGGGAGATGGAAAGCGTAAAAGGTTCTAGTGGTTCAAACATTTCGTAAATTTTCTCTACTAAAGTTAGAGAAGTAGACGAATACAAAAATAAACAATGTTTGAAACCTAAGCAAAGAATTGGGGTCATACAATAAACCTAATCAAAAACGATTGGCAAATACAGGTAACCAAGCTGAAAGTGTTTCATCGTACTTACGGAGAGATCACCACCAACTTTTTTAATCACGGTCAATGTGCGATTTCCATGAGTCTGCTCGGCTCTCTTCTTCTTCTTGACGATCACGTAGACAGGAAGCATGTGGTTTTTTGAACGAACTATGGTATACGGTTTTTTCGATGATAATTCAGCTAAAATTAGGGAAAAAATAGAATTATAATTTACTGACGAGTAATATCAACATTATTTTAAATGAGCTTACGACGAGGAGGAACCCAACCACTGGGAGTAATTTCAACGCCCTGAGGTGATGGTGGGACAAAGGCTTGAGGTTTTAACATCTCCACATATTTGAATTCTTCTTTGGATACAACGAAATTTTTAGGATAGGTGAGAGGCTTTGACGTATCCAATTTGTCTCGCCATGGATTATCAATAGTTGGCCACGATTTGACACTAGCACTTCTCAGAGTCGAAAAACAGAAAAACTGAGCTCGTGAAAAGGAGCGACTCAATGCATTCATCGTGCTAAATATAAAACGTGTGTTAAAGTATATGATAAATTATGCAATGCTAGTGTTCGAAAACTAATTTACTGAACTTGCGAGTGGCGGATAAAATACATAACTGTATGAGCATAAAATACAGTAATTGATATTGATGAAGGTTAAAGAAAAGTAAAGAAACAGGAAGCATTAAATTTCTACCTAAGAAAACACAAAACGTGCAAATTACTAGATGTGATTACTCAGGCCAAGCTCATTAAAGCCTTTATGTTCGGGCTGCAATGTCTAACATCCTTGAGATACAATTTGCAAACGTTTTATACAAAATTCCACAGAAAATAAGCATTTATAGGTTAATAACTTGATATTTAGTATTTATTTTGATTTGATATGTAAAGTGCTTTTAAATTTTTAATAAAAAATTAAAATAGTCTTGATTCCAAAGCTTAATATGCCCATGATTAAAATTTACGATTTTAGAGGATAGTGACCAGAGAAAAAGTAATCTAATTAATACCTTTTTATAAATCTTCATTCTAGCGCATAGGAAAACAAATTCACTTCTCACTGGTTAACTATTCCTTGCGTGTATTAAAAACCGAATTTGTATATTTATTTATTAAAAAAGTCTGTGAATGGGTCCAGATTGTAAAGCTATATATTCTCGATTAGATTTCTCATTTTTGAAACACATTAAAAGCGACCATTCGGAAATACTATGATGGTGTGCTACCGCAGTTACTGGTTCAGAAGTTTTAAGGAGTCATTTTATGTAGTGTCATGTTATACATTCTAATACTAATTATTCATCGCTCAAACGATGGATAACCTTATTTAGACAAAATACTGACAAAATGCTTAAAATTCGCCACCTTTTGTAAAAATATGTCTTACAATCAGGAGGTATAAGACTGTGTTCAACTTTTAAACCCTATTAGTATGCGATTATTAGCAACTCTATCTTTCTATTAATCTTGTATTCCAATAGAGCCATTTCATTAAAAGAACTTAAAAATATTCCATGATCATCTACTTAGTACTAAACTCTGTGTCGTAAGTTTGTTTTTCGTCATGGAACTAAATTGAGGTTAATTCATCTATGCCGTCTGGATATAAAATATCAGATAACTAGATCGGCAAATTTCATAATTCATAAGCACTAAATTGTGGTGATAACATTTTGCTCTTTATCTAGATGAGTTAAGCATAATTATATTAAGGCCATTTATATACCTTTCCTGGTGCACACTTAGTCAGTTTCACATGCTAATTGAGGAAGAAACTGAAGCTGTTTAATAATACCACTTTTATATGATTTCACTTAATTCTTCAATCAATTTTACTTCCTATTGTATCGATTTCTCTTCTAATAGAACTCAGCATCTATAATTCATCATTTCTATTCCACTGTCTATTTATTACATCAATCTAATTAACAAGTCGCACATTTATGATCCTTCTACCTTTAACCTGTAAACCGAACTTTATATAAATTTGACACAATTATTTAGCAGACCCCGGAGTCGTGTGGTGGCGAAGAAAATGAAAATAAATCAAGCTGCAGCGATTTTTTCTTACTTCGTTTAAGAAATACTATGAGTGCTGCCATTTTGATAAAAGCCTTCTTGTTGATGCCTACCTTGACAAAGTTCGCATCGCTTTTACCTATTTGACTTCACTGTATTTAACTCGTCAATTGCTACGCGATACAATTCTAGAAAAGGCTTTTTTTGCAATCCTTCAGAATACTCAAACAACTGCTGCTCTCCTATAAAGGAAGATGGGATGAAAGCAACCACTCATCACTTAAACTACCGTAATTTCAAATGTAAGCTTTTTCGGGTATAGGTTGATGTTGTTAAGACTAGAATGGTATGGATTGGACATCTCTGTGCTTTGCCATCATCGATATCTAAACCCATACAAATCGTATTTGTAGTAAGAACATGAACCTATAAAATGTACTCATTGTTGTTCACGCGTCATTAAATGTGACATGCGTTGCTCTTATTTGTCCGCAAATACTTGACGTCAATTATACATCACTTCAATTCCATTGGTTCAATGCAGCACGTAAACAATAAAAAGCCAATCTTTCAAATAATAATAGTAGTAATAAACTAGAAAAGATAATATCAATTTCATCAAGGGAGACGTATAACAATTTCAAAAAATTTTCTTGCCAGTTTGTATAATACCAATTGTCTGAGAAAAAAATAAAAATAGGATGGGACAATTAAGTCGACGATGAAGTTGGTGGTGGCGATAAAGATCTATTCAGACTAGACAACTTCTCTAAAACAATTTCAAAAATACTAATCGTTCTATTGTTGAGTTGTGGAACATCAAGAGTGATTAGTATGTTCCATAGTTGTCCTAAAGGGGAAAACATAAAATTAGTCACTTAGATGAGCGCCAGTGTCAAGACTAAAAAAGTCCCTTTCAGAGAGCACATACCAACTGTACAGGAGCTCGAACAGAGAGCCTCGAAGACTTCAAGTGTTCTTTTTGCAAACTTATCGTCCGAGAAGGTGCAGTAAGCAAGAGACTTACCAGCATGTGCACACGCCATCAGTTGAATGAGATCTGAGAGATCAAATAAGCAGGTAAACAAAATATCAGTTAATCATCACAAACGTAGTTAGTATTAGGAAAATTCAATATATATATACCCAAATTGACATGATAGACTTTCCTCCTCACTTCTGCCAAATGTATTCTGTTCGTGTGCCCTCGAGGTGCACTTGGGGAACCGTTTTAAACTCCAGCCTTTAGTAAATTCGTTCCATTATGGAACACCCCCCCCCCTCCCCCAAGCAGAGAAATTTGAATTCAATCAGACCCAAACCCCTCAATCAATAGGCTTGGTCAGTGACCAACTTAATCCAGACGTAAATATGCAACCTTGAATATGTGATTTTGAAGCATTTTCTTTTGGAACAAACCCCCAAACTGCACTTAATGGCCCATAAGTGAGATAACGGCGGTAGCTTACATTTCAATTCCCTATTTCCACCGAAAGCTCCACAGCCCCAGTTTCCGCTGACAACGACCCTAGGAAGAGGTCGATACGGAGCAAGATCGTCAGAGAAACCAGCGTAAGCCTACAATATAAAATAGAACGTTGACGATTCCCTACGTTGAGCTGTATAAACGCCACCTCACTGCAAACTAGACGAAGTTACTTAATTTATAGATTTTTTGAACATTACAAAAGAAACTCTTAAACTTGCTTAACCAATTATCATATGAAAACCACCAATCTGATACGTATATATCCCTATAAGCTTTGTTTACTTAAACATGGAAATGAACCAACCACTCTCTCCATTCCACTGAGTGTATAAACAAATCAAAATGAAATTTAGAGGATGAGATAAATGAGAGGATCGTAATGAAAAGGCCACTTACTTTATTTAATTCCCGCCGAATTGGTTCAACAGTAAACTGAGACTTCCTCCTGTCAAAAACAATTGCATCGATGGCTACAATGGTACCTTTCCAACGACCTTGTTCATCTCTAGAGGACAGGAAAGCACAATGCATTAATTGATATATAAATATACTACTTAAATTAACATAGTAGTCGGTATCAAACCTAGTATTCTTTGCATCCAACGCCTCGTTGAAGTCGCCAGCCCATTTAAACGTATTCCCGTAGCCAGTGTATCGAGAATATCGTTCAGCTCCTTCAATAATGAGAGCTTCGTTGCTCTCCATCGATTCGAAGAAGAGAAGACCAACGAGGATTTCTGGTCGAATACAGCAGAGTATTTCCTCCTGTACACACCCACCATGAAGAACACCACCTCCGAGGAACCGATTAGCGAAATCTACCTGAACAAGTAACAACAATGACGAATTAGTGATTACTTGTAGTAGGCAACTCCAATGGTAGGCGTGTATTACTTATGAAACTCGTTAGTATTCACTAAACGAGATGGTGATTTCTCATTTATATCCACCCCGATTACATTACGGAATTTGCAACTAATCAATTGTTTCAGCCTCATCATGATTGCAGTTCACAAGAGTGATAGTAGATTGACGCGATTTCTATATCTAATATGTTAAAAATTGCTTGAAATGAGATTTCGCGTAGGGGTTCCATTTCAGCTCAGAGGTCACTACAAAACATAGTTGACGTCAAGAATTATTGACTATTGTATTTTTATTTAATTTATCCTATCAATTTCAATGAGCTTGATGGGGATAAGAGTATCCCTATCGACAACCACTAAATGCTTCCTTGTTAAGAGTACAAACTAGGAAATTTCATTATTTATAGTGTGTCTTAAATACTTTGGGTTTAATCTCATCCGTGAGTATTAAACAGCTTTCCACTTGTTGTCAATTTTTATTTAGCGATTTGTAAGGGACAATGCAACTCCATTTAATTCCCCCCCCCCCCCTCTTACCTGAATAGTATCGGGATTGGCGTCTTCAATAAGGCACGTAGAACTGACCCCGAAAGCGATTGATTTGATGGGAACAGCACTACACTCGAAGAGCACACTTTTATTCAAACAACGTCGAGTATAGGTCACAAGACCCTGTGGAGGTTCGTCAGTGGAGAAGATTCGGTGGAAGTAGTGGAGAATGCATAGCACCTTGTGGACTGTTGCCTTTCTAGCATTCTCGAAACTAAGCAAGCAAAGGAAGGCCCATTCTGAATATGGCGCAATGAGGAAAAATAACGTGCAATCACTTTTAATGGAAATCAATATTTTAAAAGGTGTGACAGAAGTTGTGTAGACGAAATGTGACAGAGGTGAAGAACTTTACCAAAAGAGCTTTTGAACTTTAATTAGGTAAACTTAGACTTAGATATGCAAATTATGCGAAGGTCAAAACGGTAAATGAGTATAGTGTCCTGAATAATAAAAAGTTTTTTCTTTTTGAGGGTAACTCCTGATGCCAACAGAGACAAGAGATAGAATTACGTAAAGTAGAATGGATTCCACTTTAATAATTTACCAATTAAATGTAACTTTAACGAAATAGCACTCATCTAATTTAGAACACTTATAAATACATCGACTAACACCCTAATGTTTAATTTTAGCCTAAAGTAAAGCACAGCTTAAAGTGGTAGAAACAAAGAAATCTGTCAAGCAAACACAATGTGTTTAAGAAGTCCCATATTAAACGATCAATCGTGGATATATATGTAGCTTAGAGGGATTGCATGCCTCAGCGTACCCGCATTTCATGACGTTAACGGTACTAAAAGTGGGCTTCTCGATAAATCACATTTAGTGGTGAACAATGGTAGACTGCCTTTTGAAAATAGCCTACCTTAACAAGATGCTAGGTACGATTTTGGAAGATGCATGGTTGTCAAGATACTGTCTTTACGAAAGAAGAACAATCTAAAGAGGTTGACTAAAATTGGGCACAAGTTAAAATGACGAAAGTTGGTGGTAAATAATGCATCATTAGATAATGAGAATGGCATTTACGCACTGATCTGTGGTAGTATAAATTAGCGATTAATTCGGGAAGTAAATCTTCCTTAAAGTCCACTGTAGGGCAAAGAACCTTGAGAAAGACCGTTTATACGGATGGAGAAATAGTTGCCTATTCTCGATTTAACCCTTAACCGCCCGAATAATTTCCTTAAAAAATGTACAAAACCTCACTCACACTTGTCTCACGGCAGACTGATGCCACCAATGTTACGAGTTTTGGTGGTTTATCAGGCGAAGGCTATAGACGTATTGAACATGTTTCAAACGATCATGGCTCCGCCTGTTATGAGTCTAGTACACCAATGGAGCTTATGCTGAAAGAGGACCGTGCGATCCTAGGGGGGTGTTAATGGGTTAAAACCTCAAAACATCAATTTGGATTGGAAAAGCAATGAAAAAGCACTAATTACCTGCAGAATTAATTTTATAAAAGCCAACATTTCTACAGATTTGACGAGATAGTTGCAACAATTTTAAATACATTGGAAGTGAAAGTTTGTTTGACAAGGATCAAAATTAGCAAATCGGAGGTGCATCAAGATCAAAGTGAAATGATCCAAGACTTGAGGATTTTAAGGGTAGAAAGCGATTAGTCTGTTTTGCTCTATTTCTTTCAAAGTAATGCCATATTAAATAACTCGTATTTTCTGCAAGATTCAACTAATATAGTATAGTTAAAGGAGTGTCAAATAATGTGCAAAAAACTTACTTTAGGGACAAAAGGGTTCCGAAATTGATAAAAGGATAGTTTGCGTATTCGGAGTCCTTGGATTTAGCATTTCGATGTGGAAAGGTACAATAGAAAGCATTCGCTAGCAGACAGGCAATCTGGTGCTGGTTCAACGTCAAACTGGTTTCTTTGTTCCTTTGAAGAAGAGGTATGGGCTGAAATTAAAAGATGCTATATTAAGTTACAGGTTGAATAGAAAGATATCAAAGAGAACATAACAAAAAATTACTTGAGGAATAAGCTGGGGGAGCTTAAGAGAAAGATCAGCAATCTTGGAAAGAAGAGATTCGAAATTTGGCTCCATTTTAAGAGCTGTCTCAAGGTGTTTAAAGTTCCAATCATCAATGAAACGAGCATTGTATGTTAATACAGCTTTCTAGAGAAGTTAATAAAATACATGAGAAAAATTGAATCCATAACTACTCTAAAATCTTCAACCGTTTTGATGGGCGAAGAAAGAGCTCTTTCAATAATACCCCAACGTGATACAGGTTGTCTCTAAGGAAAAGGAAATTGTCAGAAGGGAAAACATATCTCACATTTTCGTGATAAATATTATGTGGAGAACAGGGCATCTTAACGTAAGAGGCATTCCAAGCATCGACATATTCTGAAGAAACTGAACCATTTTTAACCTGTTACAAATAAATAACAAATATGAATTCATAAATACTACCTTAGACAAATCTGTTTTGGAATATTTGTCGATTGTTTGGGAAAAAGTAGTCATTTCTGAGAGCTTTAAACACTTGTTTTTCCAGGTGAAGTTCGGGTTAGAGAAAATATCATTGGCAACCGAACACATGCTGAAAATAGACACCAGCAATAAAATGACTAGTTCCGAAATTATTGAAAGCGAAGTGCGAAAGCGAACTTGATTGGATAAAAGATTCAGCAACCAATGAAAAGTCAAGATAATAATATTAAATGTTTCTATTGTATAAAAGCTTGCTATAAAAAGAAAACTCGAATTGAAGTGATAAATAGAAATAGATGTTAACATTATGACAACATTAGTTATTTTCTCGATGGAAGATTACTTTCGTCAAACGCATCTCACTCAATAATACTTACTAATTATCTTCACGAATTCTCTTTGCACTTAGACCAAGTGACTCTGAAAGCGTTAGCTGACGGTTACGTGGATGTGGACCACTACACATTTTAAAACCTAGGGCAATCTCAATGGACGGCCAATTGTGAAGGTCATATGATCATAATCTAACCTTAATTTGCAAACCCATTTCACACATACAAACAAAGCTGGTACGAATATTATTAATTCTAATGTATAAACTTTCTTGCTAAATTAAACAACAGCATTCACTCAATTTCGCAAATTATTCGGAATAATCAAATTTTTTATAACTATGTCTCTTCATCGAATGATGATTGAGAAATAATTACAAATGTATTAACCAGTATTTCAAAGTTGCAAACTAATTAATTTTGAAAGAATATGAAAATAAATTCATTAAAGTACAAAACTAAACTAATGTTTTACCCTTTTTTTATTAAGAACCCTCTAACGACATTACTTAATTTTAATTGCTGCATATCTTACTTGAGGAATAATCATTCACACTGCCTAATACAGGTTTATATGTTTATTTATTTCGAATGGCAGGCTTTTTAATAGTTACAATTATCTCTTTAGCTGATTTCAAACTTCACAGAAGGAAGAAACATCCAAGTGAGAACAATTAAATAGGCGGACAACAGAGAGATTTACAGATGCAAAATAAACAGACAGACGCATAGTCAGAGAAAAGGTAAGATGAGTACTGTGAAAGTTGTTGAATATGACAAACAGTGGGGTCATGGTAGTTAGAAGTCAGAATTAAACTACTGCTTAATAGACTTTTGCCGCATGAGTATACTTTGCCCAGGGTGCACCACATGAAGGTAAATTGATCGCACACATCTTGTTAATATGTAAAGATGAGAAAACCCGAATATCTCATCAAGGAGGCAATTTAGCGCCAACCTCTACCAAAGGTGAGCTTCAAAATCCACTATATGATCTTTTTCTAATTTGGTCAAGATATTTATTTATTTATTTCAAATGGCAGGCGT